TTACGCGTTTTCTAGGTCTCATCAATTTCTATCGTCAAACGATATCAAATGCTGTCGCATTTTTGGCTCCTTTGCGTTTAATGTTGATCCGTGACGTATTTTTATTGGCATGATGATCACATTCAAACGTTTGTATCGGCTAAATCTGCCTTACAACAACTTACTTTTTCTGATCCACTCGCCAAATTATCATTTGCTGTGGATGCTTCTAAAATGGCTATTGGAGTGGTCCTCCAACACTGGCCGTTAATTTTAGAATTCTGTTCGCCAATATCGTTCGCAGCTTATTCAGCTGTAAAATATTTCGATTATATGCTCGCTGGTCGCGATTTTATTATCTTTACCAACCATAAGCCATTAACATTTTTATCAACAGGTACTCAAAATTCTTGTTTATCAATCAAACAAATTCATGCATATCAACATGGATATTATCGGCCCTCTTCCTATCTCGGTGGGGATGAAGCATATTGTTACAATGGTCGATCGTTTCTCACGTTGGCCAGAAGTGTATCCGGTCGATTGTATTGATGCCTCAACTGTTAGTGGTACGTTGCTTCAATGGATTTCACGATTTGCTGTTCCCAAGTTACTACCACTGATAGAGGACGACAAATTGAATCTCGCATCTTTGATCAACTAATCAAGTATCTCGGAGCTCACCATATAGCAACAACATCATATTATCCTCAAGTCAATGATCTTGGTTTCAGCTCTGCTCAAATACCTTTTGGTCAAAATCTTATTTTTCCGGGTGACTTGGCAACTGTTATTCCGCTGGCTAACGACCCGGCTAAAAACGTCAATCAACTAATCCGTGCTTTCGATTATCTCCAAGCCATACCGACACGTGCAATTCAACTAACCAAATGTACCATTCCATCTGCTTGTTGACCTGTTCATATGTGTACGTATTAAATCAAAACAACCGTCTCTTGCAAACTCGCTATAATGGTCCATTTCGTGTTATCGAACGTCAAAATGATGCTTTCAAATTGGAGATGTCTACCGGATTGGATACGGTTCATATTCGACGCTTAAAACCAGCCGTTATTACCACCGAATCTACACGTGAATATTGGCCACGTAATTACGGGCGTCCTCAAATCTGGTGGTGAGGCATGTAGTGAACTTGAATAACATTTGTCATGTTCAACTATAATGGTTATTTCTGTGACTATATATAAACTAATTCGTTGTCAATAAAGCTCAGTCGAGTCTTTGTCACTACATTGGTGACCCGTTCTCTACACCAACTTCTGATAGTTTTTTTTTTGTGCTTTCTCCTTGTTTTTCTTTTTCTCTTCTCGTAAATTCAACTTCGATGGCTGATTTTCAACAATCAACTTCGGGTTTATCCCGTCCACCATCGCAACCACCATCAGCTAGTTTACGTACAATTCAAGCTGAATTTTCTGAATTTACGATGGACGCAGTAATCAAGTTAGCTTGGTTCTTCCGCCTGCCTCAAGAAAAACAAAATCTCATTCGTTTGAACTTGTATTCTTCCTCATTGGTGACATTGGCTCAAACCTTGGATTGCTGTGAAGGTACACCAAAATCGTCTACCAAGATTGCCGCCTTCATTAAGCAAAATCGAGTAGTTAAGATTCGCTATTATCATATATGATATCTATCGTCTATTGACGATTTGGTGATGGGGCAATAAAATGCTCACAATCATGCTCTTTCTCTTCTCCTGCTTCGCAATCCAACTCAAGTTCAAAATCTACGAATGATGAAGCGCCATCGGTGAAAAACACGCCACCTCAACCATCATCTACTTCAACAATCGCTTGTGTTAACGTGCTTAGTCCAAACCATGCCGTTTTATGATTAAGTGCGCCCTCACTGGCTTATTGTTTCAAATTGATATTGGTGCTGAAATTTCTACTATCCCTGTTTCTTGTGTACATAATCCTGTACGCACTTCTTTGACAGTTACCACTGCCAATGGTTCGTGTGTCGCTACTTATGGTTGTCATACTATGTGTATTGACATTGGACTACAGAAACAGTACAATTGGCAATTTCTCGTTGCTGATCTTTCGTAGCCTTATCTCGGTCTCGACTTCCTTGCTCATCTCGATTTGAGCGTGCATCCGAAAAGCAGAAAAATTTTCGATTCTTCTCGTGAAATCGCTGCATTCTGCATCATGGCCTCCGACGTTAATAACAACGTTCTTGCCTTGGCTCGAGATTCGAAACCAATCAAACATTTGTCTCGGCATGTTATCGAAACATCCGGCCTTTCGGTCGTTCAAAAGTTTCTTCAGGTGCATATTGATACATTGACCAAAGTTAAGTAAGAATTTGCTAAGCTATTGGAATTTGTCATCATTCGACCATCTAAATCAGATTGGTCTTCACCGCTACATGCCATCGACAAGTTCATGTTTCTTGGTCATTCGATCTCAAAAGAGCCAAAAACAACAACCGAATTACGCGTTTTCTAGGTCTCATCAATTTCTATCGTCAAACGATATCAAATGCTGTCGCATTTTTGGCTCCTTTGCGTTTAATGTTGATCCGTGACGTATTTTTATTGGCATGATGATCACATTCAAACGTTTGTATCGGCTAAATCTGCCTTACAACAACTTACTTTTTCTGATCCACTCGCCAAATTATCATTTGCTGTGGATGCTTCTAAAATGGCTATTGGAGTGGTCCTCCAACACTGGCCGTTAATTTTAGAATTCTGTTCGCCAATATCGTTCGCAGCTTATTCAGCTGTAAAATATTTCGATTATATGCTCGCTGGTCGCGATTTTATTATCTTTACCAACCATAAGCCATTAACATTTTTATCAACAGGTACTCAAAATTCTTGTTTATCAATCAAACAAATTCATGCATATCAACATGGATATTATCGGCCCTCTTCCTATCTCGGTGGGGATGAAGCATATTGTTACAATGGTCGATCGTTTCTCACGTTGGCCAGAAGTGTATCCGGTCGATTGTATTGATGCCTCAACTGTTAGTGGTACGTTGCTTCAATGGATTTCACGATTTGCTGTTCCCAAGTTACTACCACTGATAGAGGACGACANTTTGCAAAATGTACATTCTTATTGACTGTGTAATCATTGTAATTTATGTGAGAAAAAATTGAAATCTTTATCAAAGTGCAATCGAATGTTTATTATATCAATTTTCCGTTCAGATAATTAAACATTAATAATAAGCTACAAAAATTTCCAATTACTAACTTAGATGTTTACCAAGTCAATATTTGTGAACATTTTCTCACGATTTCAGTTGAAAATATTAAATAAAATGAATAAATTCATTTTCAGTACATTTATTATGATATTGTCAAAATGTGATGATTTGAACCTGGAATATCTTTTTAATACGGCTAAATTTTTACATGATGTATGAAACGTGGCAATATAATTTGCTTCCATGGTTCCTATCAAAAGATAAATAATAATTGAAATATAATTTCTCATTTTAAAATATTATCAATTACCGATAATGGACAACTGGTTCTGTAATTATATTCGATTATCAAGATCGCTAACAAAATTGACCAATTTGTCACAATCAATTTGATGGATACCAAATTTTTGACTAAACCATATTTTTCCAATAAATATACAATTGCTAATCAAAACAAAAGCAAATGGTTAAAATATTAAAATCATTTTTCATAAAGTTATGCTCACGAGTTGAAATGCCAAACATAATGAACATTAGTGGAAAGAAAAACCGAAAATAAAAACTAACAATATATTCATGCATCAATGCTGAGATCAAAATGACAGCAAAATTGGTCAATATACGATTTTGAAAACGATTATCAACAGGTATAAATACATAAACATATAACCAGTTTTGTACAACATGATTCCATTTTCGATAATATACTTTTGCTGATTTACTGTTCCAAAAATCTTCATAAAAATTTCGATCACCAAAACGTAACAATTCAGCAGTCAAATTAAGATAAAGATGGAAAAAAACGTAGAAAAATAACCAATAAAAAATTATTCCGGGGGTTATAATCTGATATAATAGTTTCAAATTAAGCTCTATACTTTCGGTACAAGTTTTTGTTAAATTGACAAGATAACCCTGATAGACATACATTGCCAAAAGAATAAATAAAATGAATTGCAGACCAAAATTCAAAACACGACCCCATCGGATTTTTTTTGTTCTTGGATAAGAATCACGATATAACAAAGTCGGTGCAAACATATAGTAAATATATTTTCGAAAACTGGCACGTGAAGAAAGAGCCCAGAATGATCTATACATATTTGTATGATGTTTATTGACCATAAGATTTTTTAATGTCTCTTTTTCAATGAAAAGATCTTTTTTCTCAATAAAAAAAGAATGTGATTTCATCAAAAGTCTTGTCTTTTAAAATAAATAAATAAATAAATTCAATTACGACAAAATCTATGAAAACAAAACTCACCATTTCTATCAATAAGGAAAATGATCCGATTAATTTGATGTCATAAACTAATATACAATAAGTACAATAGAATAAAATGGCAAAAATGGAAATACACGAATACATTGTGTATAAAATTATTTGATATAAACATCCCGCATATTGTCGATTTTCATACATTTCACACAGAATATCTGAATTATAATTGTTATTCTCAAAATTATTAATCAGCCATCGATATTGAAAAAAATTGTTGAACAAAACTAATGGATAATGTAAGCAAAGGACAAACATTTTCATTATGAACCATATTTGGATGACTTGACCCAAATCACTGGAATTCCGAATGTATCCATCAAAAATTTCCCAGAATTTAGTCGGTTCATTAATGAAAACTTCAATTTTACACAGCAAAAATACAAATATAAATAAAGCTATCAGATCATGTATCATGCGTAGATTCGGATCAGTAGCAAGCAATTGTCTAAGTTCAAAATAAATGTTTACTGATTAAAAGAATGATATGAATACATTTCAATTCTTACGTCAAAAGAGATTCGCGATGTTTAAATGTGATGAATTTTTTTGAATTAGGTTTTGTGTCATCATTATCATTGTCATGTTCCATGATGATTGACTCAAATCATTGGTTTCCGCAATAATATTATTGCATATGATATTAGCAAATAAAAATTTTGTTAATTTTTGATGGACAAAATTGTCTTCGATTAATAGAATTAAATATTAATCTGAATTCGAAATGAATTTCTGAAGAAAAATCAAATTGCAAATCAAGTGCGATTTTTCCCTCCGATATTTTGCAAAAATATCTTATCAAAACTATCACTAAAAATTTTGCTGGTAAAGACGGTTTTTTTCCAAAATGAAAATAATGAAATCGTTTGATTTTTTTTTGTATTTTCACTTATCTTCAGAGTGGTTGTTTTTTGAATGTTAAAGATTATAAAAAATGATGATGATATTGATTGAAAATCAAAGTTTTTCTACCACAAAAAAACTACTTCAAACACACATATGATAATGATGTAAAACAATATTTTAATCAAAGAATTATTGATTTACTATCACTAAACACAAACATTAGAATAAGTATGGGATTATGAAGGTCGAGGGAAAAAAATATTTGAAGAAATCATAAATTAACATATTGACAACGTACATGTTAATATTATTAACATTCAACATTATTATTATAATCATCAATATTATCAACAAACATCAAAAAAGGAAAAGATAGTAATGAAAATGTTGGGAATCTTTTTGTTTTGAATGTGATAATCATTATCACTACATTTTTATCATTTATCAATTCAATTTCAAAAACTTATCAAATCGGATGGTGTTCATGTTTTAATGTGTGTATGAATTGGAATTCGAGATAATAAGAGTCCAAAATATTTATATGATTATTATTTGGTTGTTTATAAATCCATCATAATCATCATAAAAATACAATTTAAATTTTGAAGAAATTTAAATAAAAATCTATGGAATTTGGGTTGTAAAAGAATTTTGTTTGTTTTTGTTTTATCTTATTTGAGTCAATTTGTGGATGGAAAAAGTGGAAAAATGGAAGAAAAAAGTGATGATAGATTAAAAGAGACATCAAAGGGATAATCAATAAAAATATTGAAAGATGTGAGTTGAATTTGTGTGTGTGTTGATGTAAGGAAAAAAGGGAATTTAAATTTAATGAACATTGGTTTTTGAAATTTTTCCTTTGATATAAATAGGAATTTTAAGATTTTCAATAATTGATTGATTGAATGGTTATAATATTTGATGATTAATTAATAATAATAACAATTTATAATATAAAATAATAATAATAAATCACAGTTAGCTTGGAGATCATTAATTATCTTCAGAGCAACAACAACAAAAATGAAATGAAAGAAAAAGAAAAATGGTGAGAGAGAGAAAAAAGGAGAAAAAAAATGTATAGGAAATTTGGAATCCAAAATAATTAGAAATTAAAAACACATAACAACGTTGAATGTTGGAATGAATGTGATTCTCAAAGATATATGGGATGCATACCATTTGTTTGAAATGTGTGTGTGGGTTTGAATTATTTTAGAAAAATTGATAAAGCTCGAATTCGATAAATTTCGGTATGTTGTTTTTTTTTTGAATTTTTTTCAAAGAGATCAACAAAATTTTTAAAAAAGAACAGACATTATATTTAACTGTCCATGTTTTTTTGTGCGTTTTCAAATTCTGTTTGTGAAAGAGAATGTTTTGGAATGTAAATGGACAATAATAATAATATCAAAAATTGATATCATCAACAAACAATTAATGATGATGAGCATTTTGAAATATTTGAATTAATTTATTTTTTTTGTTGTTGATAATTATATGTACATTGACGTATGATTAGGTTTATCAAATTGAAAACAATAAAAAATCAGGTTGAGATTTCTCATCATTGGATTTTTTTCCGGTGGTTTTGCTAATGAATAAATCTTAACACAATTCTGAACAATGCTGATACACAAATCAAATTCATTGTAGATTGCATTTTACAAATTCATTTAATGATTAATAAAATAAATCATCGAATAAATATCGTTCAAATGACAACCAAATTCAAACAAACATTTTCGATTCATTCTATCCAATTCGATTGATGATGAACTAAGATGGTGAAACAAAATTGAATTTCACGTTCACGATGTAACGGTATTATTATCGTTGTTGTTGTTGTTAGTCACTGTTTGATTTGTTGTTGCCGATGGCGATGTTGCGGCTGATCCTACATTCGGTACATATACACGCGGTGAAAAACGTGATAATCGTGGTTCTAATGTTAAAGACATTTGATAAAGTTCATCATCTTGTAAATGTCTTGATGTATCAAGTAAATAGTTGGTAACTTTAGGATTATGTTCCATTTTATATGGTGTTTGTTGAAAATGTCGTATCTCTCTTATAACATGTGCAATCTGAAATTTAAATTGAAAAATTAAAGAACATCAATTGAAAATGTTACTATACCATTCTCATTTTTGAAAAGTTCAATAGGCCATCATCGGTAAAATTTGGTGTTCCTTCTTCAATGAATGACAAATCGGTAAGATACATTCCCAGATACGGTATACATGGTGGATCACAACGATGTAATGCCTCACGCATATTACGAAAACGACCATCTGTTGAAACTAATGTCTGTAACTTTTCGATAGTTTGTTTAGTCTGTTCATTGAAAAAAATTTATTAAAAAACATGAAATCAAATTGAAAAGATAATTTTAAAATGATACGTACAGTTTTGGCAACCTTTTCCCATGTTCGTTTAAGGCGATATACTGATGAATTAGTAAAAGCAGCACATATTTGTAAAACGCCATTAAAATTATGAAAACATCGACAAATATCAGCGACAGCTGCCCATTTTTCAATTATAGCAACACGTTTATGAATCTCAGGAACACGCAGAACTTCCGATGCAACTAAACGGCTAATGTCATTGAAATGTTTCGTCATTAAAAGAATGTGAAATGCTTTTTTGCTCTATGAGTAATGAGAAAAAAAAATCAATTTATAATTCAGATATGATTAAATTTATCTACATACCTTTTGTTCTTTCATCCATGCTTGGCCTAGAAATTCTTCACTTCGAATACGAATAAAAATATTATGATCCAAATAGGTCATTACTTCTGCTATTTCTAATGCCGATAATGTTTCAATATTATCTTGACTTGGATGAATCGGTGCTGCCAATAAAACATCTAGATCGACTTTTTCTTTGGCTTCCATTGTTTGTTTCGCAATCATTTGTTGAAGTTGCACGGCTGCTTTATGTTCGGCTGGTAAAAGATTTGTGTTGTGTATTAATTCTTCCAGAAATTCAGTTGTAATTTGTAATAATTTTTGATCATTTTCAAAATCTTGTGAATGTTTGCTAACCCAATGTCGTAACACATTTAGTACTCGCATTGTAGCGGCTGTACTAATCATAGATTCTCGTTTGGCTCGTTGAGCGATTCGTTCATTATTAGCAGCAACATTCTGTGCATTCTGTGCAGCTGTTGTACTGCCTCCCGCTGCACCTTGACTATTAGGTATCTTGAGATCTGCACCGGCTGCGCTTGAAAATCGACTACTACCACGTGATATAATCACTTGTTTCATCATGGGATCAGTCGGTTCGGGTGGATTACTTGATGCAGCTGTTGCTGCAGCGAATGCTAAATTAGATAATAAAAATATAATTAACATTAATCCATTTGAATAAAATAAATTACCAGAAGCTGCCGAAGCTGTACTAGAACGACGTGATGTTGCACGGGATGAAATAACAACAACACCGGCTTTGCTTGACATTTGGGGTGATTCTGGATGCTGAAATGAACTACGAGCCGTACTAATACTTGTATCAGTTTGAAATGATGATCTAGGTGTTACGGATGAGCTGGCCATACTTTCACATTCACTACTGCCTGATCCACGTTTAGAACCAGCTCCACGAACACGAAGATAGTTCATACTTGTAGCACTCAATCTACCCGATGGTGTAGAATGGCTAATACTACCGGATCGTGATTCGGATGATTTTATTGGTGGTGGAACAGATATACTACCCGATCGAGAATCGGTAGATTTAGGATTACCGGGGGGCTGATTTTTTGGTGGCAATACAAAACACGAACCAACACTAGATATGGGCGGAGCAGATGAAGCAGGATGTGTTGGTTGTGGTGTTATCTGATGATAATAATGTTGATGTTGTTGTTGTTTTTGGGGTGTACCCGGTATTGGTGGTGTTGGAGGAGGTGTTCCTTCACTTAATTGGCCGTGTAATGTATTTTGAGCTATTTTTTGTCTCAATTCTGTACTTTCCTTCGATAGAATATCCAAATCTTGATTTTCAGCATTTTGTTCAATAGAATTTTGTGCTGGCAAACTATGTGGTGATGTTTTCTGTATCGGACTTGGTTTCGGTGAACATGTATGTGAATCGGTACCGACCAATGTCGCTGAACTGGTTGCCGAACTTAATGGTGATGCTGGATAGCTTAGTTCAGAATTATTTGTCAATGTGTCACATGATTGTGAATGTGGTGATGAAACTTGATCCTGGTGAACGTTATTAGTTGTTATACGTAAATGTTGATTTGAACGATGTATTGCTGTTATTTGTTTTGATGGACTAGATTGAGTTGGACTAGGTGATCGATCATCATTGCTACTATTGGGTGATTCTTTATCAGCCTACATAAAAAATTATTGAAATAATTTAATGGCAACATGATTAATTGATTTCACATAAACATAAATTATAATAATCGAATTTTTATTTAAACGAACCAATAATGAGGAGGCTTCTTTTGCACTTTTTTGTAAATAACCAGGAACTTCTGGACTTGGTGGTGGCGGAACTGGAACAGCTATTGGATCGGTAATGGCTGGTGTAAGTAATGGTTCTCCTGCTGGTAATTGAAAATGGCTGCTAATATTACTCGTATTAGTGTTGTTGCTATGATTAGCAACAATTTCATTATTGCCAACATTCGATGAAGTTGTAGATGAAATACTTCCATGAGCTAAACGATTGTTCATTCGTTTTAAATAACGTTCACGAGCTTGTTCTTCTTCAACTATTTTGACAACATTAATTTTTATTTTTAAAAAAATGATAAAAATCACAAATAACTTACATTTACGATAACTTAATCTCCAATGTTGATTATTGCGAATTGCATTCGATGAAAACATTTGTTGTACTTGTGCTAATTGTTGGCCGGCTGTTGATTCTGATGTTGATACAACTGATTCACGATGTGCAAGATCATTGATATCCGAAAGTACTGAACTATTACTGACACGTCGTGAATAATCATAATCTATTGTTGTTGATAGATATTCATTGGCAGCAGAAACATTATTAACATTAACATTGCCGATAATTGTTGCAGATACACCACCACCAGTATTCGAATGTGCTTGATTGAGCGAAGTTGCTGTCGTTATTATACCCGAATGATGATACGGTGATTGACTAGGATGTAAATGTGTAGAATCTATTTTTGCATTACCATTGGTATTACCGGTTCCTTCTTCCAATGAACCAGATGAATCATGTAATGATGCATTCATAGCTGAAAGATCAGGATTATAATGGACACGTTTAAGTGCTTCAATAACGGTAATACTATCAGTAAAAACACGATATGTAAGAAGAAATGTATTGAGAAAATCGATGCTTAAAAATCTTAAATCAGTTAAACGTTCAAATAAACGTTCAGGACTGGCATAACGAATTTGAGGTAATTTGCATGAATTTAATGTACGACTAAATCGTATGTCAACATCATCCTTAAAAAGACGTGGATCATTTCTGTTAACAAAAAAAAAAGAAAAAAATTAAACATAAAATTCAAATTTTGTACAAAAAATATTAATTAAAAAATGTACCTGATTGAATGTGGCATCGTAATAGATGATGAATCATTTAATGTTCCATGGAACAAATCATTGAAATGAACGTTGTCTATACACTGTTATTGCAAAATTATTTGAATAAACAAAAAAGGAAAGATAATGAAAAAAAGATGTACCAATAAAATGAATGTTTTTTAAAAAATAAAATATTTTTAAAAAGTGTAATTGAAATTTTCGGTTTCATTTGAAAAATCTAACGACATTGAAACTAAAATCGGTGAATTAAATACCAGGAAATGATAAATTAATCAAAATTTGAATATTTTTTTGTTTTGCAAAGAACAAGGACTAGATTCTCATGAAACGAATTTGTTTTCTCGTATATCAGAAAAAATCACTTTTTACATGAAACAAAATATGTATAGAAAATTTTTGTTTAAAAAAATATGAAACCTTATTGCTATCGCCTTCTTCAAAAACGATATCATTTGGAATGGCAATTTCCATTGCAATCATTTTGCGTAATTTTCCAACGGATTGTTTTTTAGTTTTATTAGTTACATAACTATTGTTGGTATTATAAGAGCTTCCACTTGTAGTGAATGTTTTTGATTCTTTTTTAGTATGATGTGATTGAAATGATTGCTGTTGTTGTTGTTGTTGTTTGTTGGAACGATCACTAGATTTATGACCAGTTGACATTAATGATGATGATGAATCATTTGAAGATTGTTGTTGATGTGAACATTCTAACAATATATTTAAATTTTCATTTGAATGTTGTCTGATTAACATCGGTTTTGATGATTGATTTTTTGTCATCGATGATGATGATGATGATAATGATGTTGTTGTTGTTTTGTATTTTGTTTTTACTGTCGAAATTTTTGGCTTCGAAATTTCAGTCTTATCTGATTCATTACGTTTTAAAGGCACATTATTATTATTGTTATGACTAGTTTGTTGTGTTTCGGATATTAAAATCGGACAAGATCCAGTTTCAGGAATATTTCCTTGATTCTGTTGTGGATCTTCTTTTGATTTGGCTTTACTTTTAGAAAATTTAAATCTTGATGGTACTTTTGGTGATAATGGTGATTTAAGGCTACCGACACCACCAACACCACCACCGCTTTGACCAGAGCTATTAGACGAATTATTATTGTTGATATTTGGTGAGATATCAGCATCCAACAGATTTGATGACCCAATAATATCCGATTCCGGTACATCCAAACTATTATTACTTTCAGAACTATGATGATGTTGATGATTACTATTGCCACCATGTCCTGACATATAACCAATACCAGATTGAAAACTTCGATTAATTGCTCGGCCATAACTTCGAATCAATGCAGCACTTCGTTGATGATATGAAGTACTTGTACCACTGTTACAACTATTTGTTGTTGTTAATGATTCTGCATTGTTGTTTGTACTAAAACAAGTAGGTGGTGTCGGTGATGATGCTGATTTAAAAAGACCAGATACTGATGATGATTTTCGACTGGACGATGATGATGATGATGATGATGGATTGCCGGTACTGCTTGCCGAATGTGTTTTAAAACGTCTCATAATCACCATTTGGTATTTTATTAAAAGATAATCATATACAACACCGTTGGATGAAGCAAAATAGAATAAACAGAATTTGTACGAAATAATACTATGGATAATTTGGCCCAGATGAATTTCTATTGACAATATAATCACAACCACAACCAACTACAAATACACATAACAAATACAATTAAGACATATTTTTATAATAAAAATTTTCTTTCATAAACTTGTTATCGTCATTTTGTTTTTGTTTTTTTGTCGACATCCATGATAGTGAAAAAAAGATGAAAAATTCAAATTATGTTGACATTCTTTTTTTCTAACAAAAAAAAATATGATGATGACAAAAACAAATGAAAATGAAAAAAATATTCTGGTTTATATCAATTTGATGTTTTTTATTTTTAATATAAACTTTATATTCGACACACGCACTGTAAGAAATTAAGTTCAATGATTAAATTTAATCAATGTTCAACACCCACACACACACACACTGAAGAATGTACAAGAGATAGGCGAAAACTATATCATCATATTGATCAACGAATATTGATTGAGGGAATCAATTTATCAACAATACTAAACAAAACAAAAACAAAACGATTATTCAATGAAATAAAATTTTGATTGATTTATTATTATTATCATTTGTTGTGAATATTCGTTAGTACAAAAGATTATCAGTGTTTTTCAGTTATGAGGATGATGAGGATGATGATGATGATAGAACAAAGATGAAGCAAAAAAGAAAAACAAAAAATTTCTCTCAATTCCTAATTCATTATTCTTTATCCTCATGAATCCATTATACACACACAAGCATTCGTTTTTAGAATCCTATGATTCTAGCAGCGTTCCAGTAAAAAAAATTCAATAGTTAGTCCATCAACACTGCCACCACCACCACCACCACCAACAAAAACAACAATAATAACAATAACAACTATACATAAAAAATGAACACCCACGAATGAGTAGGAAGATGGATGGATGATAGAAAACCTGGAAAAAGTTCAGCATGTATCTGACTAAAAGTTAGGTTAACTATCTAAAATTATTCTTGCTTTTTCAATTCAATTCGGCGGCAACAACAACAGCGTTGATGATGATAATAATGATGAATTCTATTGTTTTGGACTATGTGTGTTCTATCGAAAAAAAGTTTGGTACTCTTGTAGAATATTCTCTCTCACACACTGTATTTCTGTTTGGGGGGAGTAAGAGATAGAGCATGAGGAGGCCAGTTTTCAGTTATCAATAGGTTGATTCAAAGACCCAAAAATGATGGCAATCATTTTCCCTTTTTTTCTCTCATATTATTATAAGTTCCAGAGAAAAAGACAGTTGGAAAAAATAATATTCTGCGACGGCGTCACATGAATTTTGGTTGTTGTCATTGGCGATTGAACAACAACAAGAATTTCATGTTCAAATGGGAATATTTTCTTCAATATCTTCTTTTAGTAGTAGCGGTATTTTTTGTTTCTGATCTGGAACTCGATTTTCATTTTTTTTTGTTCATTTTTCCACTTGTTATATAGGAATTACATGGATGCTTTGATATACAAGATAGGAAAAAAATGTCAGAGACATCATCATACATAAACACACACACACACAGACGATCTATTAAATGGAACGAATGATTTGTTTCATTTTTATATAAAAAAAAGTTTCATCAATTGGTGAGCTATTGGCATATATACATGAAAAAACAGTGTTATTATTTAAATATCATCACTATCATCATCTTCATCATCATTTTTTTTAGGTTTATCATCATCATTTTATTACCGTACGAACAGAAACGGATGCTCAAAACAAAACAAGAAATAAATACCAAACTAAACCAGAATAGACCAGAAACCAATAAGTGTGTGTGTTTGTATAGCTGTCTATATCTACTGAATAAATGTGATATTGAATGAAAAATATCAATTTCTAGGAATATATGAATTAAACTCGAACAAAAAAAAAATCATAACAATTTTTAACCTTTGCGCATGGATTGTTAATTCAAACAAAAAAACAAAGATGGTTACAAAAAAAAATCTCATAAAATTCTATCATTAATTTCTGGGTATAACAAAAAAAAAGTATATTAAAACCCTTTTATCTCAATTTTGTTGTTGATTTCATTGCGAAAAAAAATTAACATGGATCATTTCATAACAATTGATCTTTAATTTTTGTTTTTTTTAATCTTTTGACTCAAAGTTTCTGAATTACAACAACAATTATAACAATAATTTTTTTTACTTGTATCCTCCAACTTATAATCAACTAAAATCGGATTATTTTATCGCTCTCTCTCACTTTCGACAATATAATTCGACTAATCACTATTTGAATAATTTCAATGATCCTGTTGTGTTAATTAATGAAGAAAAATAAACTTTCAAACCAAACGAAAGAAATTGAAATTTTTAACCCGGATCAACTCCTCACATAGATTTATGTTAATATTTTGGTGGACAACAAAAAAAAAATTGTGAAATTTTACTCATGAGCTCATATTTCGTAAAAGTTGTTACAAGTTGCTCTCGAAAATTTATAAAACAAAAAATTAATTTTCATTTCTATAGATTTTTACACTTGAAAAATCATTGAATTAAATTATTGAATGTATATGTTGAATCTTACGGAATAAATCATGGATAAGACATGAAAACAATAACAAACAACTGATTTTCATTTTCAAAAGAAATTGAAATTCAATATTAAATTGAAATAAACTGTGATACCTGGCCAATCTTATTATTGGTACATTATGTGTATAGATAGAATATATTCAGGTTTGCATTTATTATTTTTCTTTTTCTTTTTTGTTTTTATTAAACTATATGCTCTATTCCTCGTCGACATGAATCCTATTCAATAGTGATGATGATGATGATAAAGTTGAGTAGGAATCCAGTAAAACAAACAAAACAAAAACATGAAACTAATGTCGCGAAACAAATAAAATATATAGTAGTAGTAGCTGTTGAATTGAATTTAGAAATCAGTGATGAAACTTAGAATTTTGGTGGGTAGGTATAGTATAGGTTAGTGTGTTATGTGCGTGGGCCGGTATCACAGAATTTTTGATCAACTATCACCGTCGCCATCACCGTTAACCAAAAGTTATATAAATGGGAATCAAAATATTAAAGAATAAAGAAACGACCTAAGAAAATATTGTGTGAGAGAAATAAGAAGATAGCGTGGGAGTAAAATGTGAAAAACAAAACTTTTCTTTTCATTTGATTTTCGATAAGAATTTTTTTGTTTGTTTGTTAACAACTCATATTTAGTATCGATTTTTTTTTCTTTCTCTCTCTCTCTCTCTCTCTCTCTCTCTCTCTCTCTTGATTCACATTAATTCTTTATTATTACAAATTAATTGAATAAAAAAATGATTTAAATAATTAAATTTGGTGGTTAAGTGAAAAAAAAATTGTTTAGAGAATTATTTAAACACACAAAACATTTAAAAAAATCAAGATAAAAAACTTAAATCATCATCATTGTTTTGTTTTGTTAATTTATTCAATTATTCTATTATTCAAAAGAAATCCTAAATTCAAAGAATTCAATGAATTTGTTTTTTTTCTGGTAATGATTGACATGCGTCACAAAAAAAATCAGGTCCTTGAGAATAATACTGTTTTTTTGGACAGAGAAATTATTTTATATTTCCATGTTTTTCAAGTTTCTTCACTTTTTCATTTCACACACACCCCACTTATATATACTCTCTCTCTCTCTCTCTCTCTCTCAAGGAAAAAATCACCCACGCAAAAAACAAAATTATTATTATTTTTCATTTTGTTTGGTCCTAGTAGCTATTTAGTTTAATGGATAAAAAAAAGAAATTCCTTGAAACAAAGCAAAACAAAAATGAAAAAAAAATCCGGGTGAACAAAAGATTCTCTCTCTCTCTCTCTCTCTGTGTGTGTATGTTGATATGATGATGATGATGATGAATCTATATAAAAAAAATCAATATTTTTTTTCAGCCAAAAGCAAAAATATAGGGAAAAAATGTTCAATAATAATGAAACAAAAGAAAAAAAGAAAACATTCACAAAAACTCTTCATTCAGTTAATAAAGTTTTTCAGTTTCTTTTGAAATTGTAAAGATTTTTTGGGATTTTAAATTTGAATTGATCCAGCAGAAACAAAAAACAAAACAAAATACAATAACAAACAACTCTATTAAGATCCTATGACATTCGACATTTGAATTTTCATTTTTTTCAATTTTTGGTTTTTGTGTGTGTGTGTATTGATAACTATCCATATTGTCGAATAATAAGTAAAAAAGTATTTTGTTATTTTCTTTCTTTGATATGGGTTTTTAAAATGAAATTTGAAAACTTGAAACCGGATACTAAGCTTTTTTTATATGAAAAATAACATGTGATTGTTATTGTTCGCGTGATGTGTAATCAAAAACGAAAAAAAAAATTGATTTCATTTTCGATCAAACGAACAAAAACATCACATTTTTTCTTTGATCCAGGATTCCATTACAAAATTCTATGTTTGTTAGCATCATGATGACAATGAAAGGAAAAGTAGAAAACAATTTCATTACAATGATTTAATAGTGATAAAATTCTTGAAAGAAAAAATACCTAATGAAAAAAGAAAGGTAATTCATTACATTACATTCTAATTCGTAATAAATGAATTGATTTTTATTTTGTTTTTTTTGACAAGAAAAAAATGTTGTTATATAAGAAAATAATTCAGTGAAAGATGTTCATGGGAGAAAAAATACAACGACAAAAAAAAACCAGGTCAAATTTATCAAGGAACTCCATATATCTTTGTGTTTGTTTGTAGAAAATGTATGTTAGCAATTTTATAATATCAATCCAAATTAATGGTCTATAGAAAAATAAAGAAACTGATATAAGGAGATAAATTGTTATTTATTATGCACATTTTGATGATGATTCGATTCCTATTAAATCAATGTATATGTAGTTTATCATGTTGGTCATCATCATTACAAACATAGCCAACAACATTCTTTATTCTTCATCAAATATTTTGCCAAAATGATGACGATGATGATTATTTATTATTATGTTGAATTCTTTGATCAAATTTCACATCTTCTTAAATTTTGTTTATTTATTTGCTTCTTTTTTTTCATTGTTATTTCATCATAATATTCTATTATTATTATTATTGAATTTTATTCTTCTTGTAAAACATGACAAAAAAAAATTGAAACATTTTCAAAATTCCTATTTTGTTTCTTTCATTTCACATATTTTGGGTTCGATGTGTCTAAAAAATTTAGCTATAAATTATATATAAATGATAATGTCGAGCCATATCGCTAATAATGAAAAAACAATTTCAAATCAATCAGATAATTTCAACAAACACAATATTATTATTATTTTATTCATTGCACTGTACAAGGTTATTTTTTTCAAAAACAAAAACTATCCTTTTTCCATTACGAACTAATTATCAATTTCATTTTAATTGTTGGTACAAATCATTAATCATAAATGAATCAAACAAATAAACTAAATGATTGATTTTTAATATTTTTGTGATGAACGTAGAAAAAAAGTAAAAAGAATGATGAATTGTACGAATCGATACGAATCGAATTATCATTAAATTAATTAGAGAGAAAATAAAATGTAAACATTTTTTTTTGTTTTGTTTTATTGTTGAAAACTTTCATCACCAAATTGAAACAATATCATTAAAAGTAAATATTATTTATTATTTATATCTCAAAAAAAAATTTCATCTTTATTTGTTTTTAATTGGTTATTATTTCACTTGAATCGAATTGAGAATTTTTATTTCTCATTCATTCATTCATTTAATCTGTTTTAATTTAAAGATAATTGGCCCAACAAAACGAGATAGAGAAAAACGAATTATTGAAAAAAACTTTATTGTTTGTCTCTTGGTTACATAGCAAATATGATGTATTGTTGTTTATCAAATGATGACCAAATAATCAATAACAATAATAATAATATATTATCATATTGATAATCTTGATTATTATCAATTTTTATTAATATTTGTTCACTTAAATCTGGTCTTTTATTCATTGTCATTGTATTTATTACATCATCATTATTATTTGGTCCTGGATTTTTTTTCATTTTACCTAGATTCTTGAAAAAGAATGAATCCAAACAAATAATTCATTATTTTCTTATTTTTTACTTCGTCATTGATTATAATCATTGTTTAAATCTGGATTCTTGACGACATAAAAAATTTTTTTTTGTTTTCTTACACAAACACACATTACATTTTTGTTTAATTAATATCATAATTCTAATTATCACATTTCGGATAAGATTAGTTTGTCGTTTCTTTTTGTTGTTGTTGTCGAGAATCAAAATGATTCAACAATCTTTTCATCTTTTTTTCACAATTTTATCACTTTCAAGTGCGTCAATGCTATATATTCATTATTGATTATTTCGATTCATTTGATCATATTATCTATGAAGTTTTTTTTTACTCTATTTTATTGATAGAAAGATTACTTTAAAATGGAATAATTATATGCTTAAAGTGTGTTTTTTTAATTAATAAACCGAAAATTTTTTCTTTTGTTTATTTTTTTTTGAATTCTTACCTGACTGATATCCGATATCCAAGCGGTTTTTTCCTGTAATGTTGGTGCAACTAAATGGACGGTTAATGGTGGTCCAGTTTTACAATCGACAATAATCTTAAAATCTAAACCACCAAAATCTTTGCCTGAATGTGTGGGTGTTGCTGTTGTAGCATTATTTGATGTTGATGATGATGTTGTTGTTGTAGTTGTTGTTGTTATTGCTTGATTTATGAATGATGGGGTATTTGTATTGGCACTTCCAGCACCGGTACCTGTACCAGCATCACTTGAATGACTTGAAGTTGAGCTAATAGAGCCTTCTGGTGGCAAATGATCAAAATATTTGTTGAAATTGACATTCAAGTTTCAGTTGGGATTGTAAGAAGATTCAAAAAAAAAATCCACATTAATAATGTTTTTGGCCGCCAGATGGCAAATAAAAACGTCGATAAATGAATTAAAATTATACTTGCCTGTATCGTCGACTGTAAATTGGAATTGTTCATTGGGATCTTCAATTAATGTTGCTTCAGCTAATGGAATTTTTCCAATTCCCTACCAAAATTGATAATTTTAAAAATTTTTGGTCATCCGAACAAAGAATCAAAAATTACTTACATCAACTAGTGATAATTTTCCACCCGATGTTCGTGTACAAAGAAGCATATGATTGGAAAATAAATAACATTGTCGCATAATTTCTTTTTCGACAAGGCCACGAAATGATCCGATACGTGCTACACGGCTAGCTGTTTTGCTACGATCACTATTCAATACTTGTATGACACATCCTTTTCTTATGAACACTTGATTGACATCGAGCAATATATCACAACCGCCAACAATAATACGTTCAATGGCCAAATTATTGCGAATATTTTCCGTTTCGCTAACTTCATCATGCATTTGCTAATGATTATTGTTGTTATCATTATTAATACGATTCGGGTTGATGGTTAAAAATCAATAAAAGAACAAGAGATGAATTGTTTTTTCTCGTAATTTTCAAGATCAAATTTCTTGAATTTGAATCATTTTTTAAAAAAATCAATATCAATAAGTTTTTAGAAAAAAAATAATTTACCCTTGATAATTCTTCCAATTTCATTCTGGCATTTTCCAAACTTTTTCTTTCAACATGATTATGTGGTGTATGGGCAAGTAATTCATGTAAATTTATTATATAACGTGGTACCTGCACGTTTTTGTTGTTGTTGTTGTTGTTGCCATCATTATTAAGGAGTTGTTAAGAAGTGCAAAGAAAAAAAAATACGATAATAAAGAAGAAAAATGAGAGAAAAAAACCAAGAAAAATTACATGTTGTTAATAATAAATTATGGAACTAAACACACGCAAACACTGCAACAATATGAATCTTCGGTTCTAAGACGTTTCTATCTTCTTTCCCATTTCACTATTATTATCATTATAATAATAATAAATAATGATGATAATCATCTACACATTTCCATAAATCATTCATGATAATAAATTACATAATGTGCGTGTGTGTTTATGCTATGTTGTTTTGGTTTTATTTTATTTTTGTTTGCTGTTTATATGATAATAATCAAATCTATGTATTCATATATGATAATACACTTGTTTAAACAAAATCTATCGTTTTTTTTAAATATTATATTCTGTGTGATCTTGGATTTTGTTTCTTTTTCTTATGAAAAAAATATAATCAATAATTTTGTTGTTGTTGTTGTTGTTGCTGGATGATAAATGAAACAAAAGAAAAAAAAGAAAGTTTTCTTACCTGATGCATTGGATATGTTAGAAATGTTTCCAATGTACGTCCTATGAATATTTTTCATTATGATATTGAAGTTTTTTTTAATCAAAGAAAAAATGATGATAGTGTTTGATAAATCATGATAATGCATGCGAACATTTATTAATTAGAAATTTTTTCAATTTGATTAAATTGAGAAAAAGTAAAAATTTGAAAAAAAAATCAATTTTAATTTAATTTGTTCAAGAAAAAATATCTTACCCTGAATGATTGGCTTTTCTTCCAATCTACGTAACATTGAAGCAAATTTTTCTCGTTGTTTACATTCAGCCAATACTTGCAGAGAGAAATGATGATTTCTTACATATTCTTGATATATGCTTAACATTGGCAACAACATGTCAAACAAATCTCCTATGCCGTTTGGCCGAAATCAAAAAAAAAACAAAAACAAACAAACAAACACAAATATATATGGGATCGAATGATTGGATTTTTGATCCAAAATCGATGGAAAGAGGGAGATGTATATAAATAGATAGAAAACAAAACCAAAACAAAAATCACGATAAAAAAGATAAAAAAGGATAAAAAGAAGAGAGAGAGAGAGAAAAGGCCATCGGTTAGGAACGTTCATTTGTAATTATTATTATTATTATTGGAAAAACAAAAAAAGTTGATTAGAAAATTGATTTTTTTGTTTTGTTTTTTCGATTGATGAAAATCGATGAATATTATATAGTTGTGCGATAATTGTCGAATATATTTTACACACACACACAAACACATAAGAATAGACACGGAAATATCACGGATAAAAAGAATGAAATGGATTTTGGACAACAAGGAAAAAAAACAAACAACAAAAATTGGTGCAATTTAATTATCATTACACGAATTAAACAAATGGCAAGACACAAGAACACATAGTTTTGGTTGGTTTGTTTGTTTGTTTATCATCAAATTAGATTAAAATTTGAATTTGATTCAATTTTTTTTTGAATTTTAATAGAAAAATTTCATATTTCAATTTAATAAATGGTTGATATTTGTGATGGAATGATCAATTTCATAAAATTGGATTTTTATAATAATAAAAAAACAATATCGCACGCACGCATATGAATACGTACACGTTTCAATATGAATAATATGAATGGCACGTGAAAGGATTGGAAAAATTTATTTTTTAAATAAAATTTAAAAATTTTTTGGAACACACACACACACACGCACACACAGAGAAATCAAATAAATTTTGGAGAATTTAAAAAAATGAAATGAAAATCAATTGAAACGCAAAACGAATCACATACAGACAATGAGACAGATAGGCAGACAGAATAAAAGTAAAGTGTTTTTTTTTCAAAAAAAAATTGATTGAAATTGATTTGTTTTTGTTTTGTTTTTTGATGTATGGGTGTGTGAAAGTGATAATTTATTATACAAAATTGATGAAAGTCGGAAGTCAATTTTTAATGGTTTTTATTTTTATTTTTCACCAATGTTCAAAAAAAACAGTAATTTGTTTCGGCACACATTTGATGAAATTGATATTTATTATTTGATTCCAAAGTAAAATGAATGAACGAGAATATACATGTTACGGAAATGGGAATGGAAAAGAAAACAAAAGAGAAAAAAGATTGACGCATCGATCTTACGAAAGAAAATAGAATAATAATGATAATAATAAAGATTTCTATTCTATAGATTCTATCATAAATGTGGAATATTTTTCATTGAAAACAGAAAACTAGAAATAATGGAATTCAATTGAAACAAAAAGGTATTCAGTGTAATGAAATTTACAATCGACTAATTTTGATTGATTATATACATAATCAATAGGAAAGAAACAAAAATTTTCTATATAAAAAATGATTAAGGAAACAAAAACAAACGAAAAATAAAGAACATATTCTACACATCTACTTTTGAAACTAATAAGCTATTCACATACATTCATGTATTAGTATAAATTAAAATTCATAAAATCATTCGACGTTAAAAGCGATTAAGAATCATGAACAAAAAAAAATACATTACAAATTATAAAAACTAATAGCTATTTTAATGATTAAAGGAATTAACGATAAGTTATTTTCAAAGTGGTATGTAATAATTATCATTGCAACGGAAACCAGTGTTTTGCTGATTATCATTAAGATTTTGTTGGAAATACTTTAGTTGTTTGGTTTTTTCTACTATTTTTCTCAATATAAACTATTTCAAATAATTCTTTGACTATTTCGTAGAATATATTATCATCGATGATCATATATTATCAATATAGTAATAAATTCATTGACAGTAACGAATCTTTATTTCACATAATCTGTAAAAACGATAAATTCTTTTTCTTTAACCTTTGACAACAAAATGAAATCTTAAACTAAATCTGCACATTTTAAAACTGTTTAAATGATATGGCATTTTCATTATCATAAGCTAAAGCGTTTTTTCTTGGTGAAACATCATTAACCTAGTTAATCATGGCCAAACGATAAGCTAGCAAACCTAACGAACCATCTTCTATTTGCATCGAATTGGCTAATGTATGTACAATCAGTTTATAGTATACATTGCTTACGTAGAAAAAAATGTGATTCAGTGAAACAAAAAACATGCATGAATGATCAAAAACGAGCCATGTAAATGGTTTCTATCCAAAATAATCTAGTTATATTATATTCATGCATTTGGTTACATACAAGAGCCAAAAAAACAAACAAACGGACATGAACACATGAAAACAAGCAGATTCTATTAAGGCATAGCCAAAATTATTAATGAAATTTTCAAAACAAATATTCAAAAAATCTATAAATCAAAAATATCAGCCATTCTTCATTCTATTGGGAAGATTTTTTTCACATCAAAATATCATTTTTAATGGTTTTGGTTTTTGTTAAAAATTTTTTTACATTATAATGAAAAAACAATAAAAAATTCTCGAGAAAAATTGTTTCGAAAATATTTTTTTAAAATAAAACAGCCGCATACCTAATACTAATGTTGGCCAACATTCCATACGAGCTGTTAATCCTTTTAAAAATATCTGATGTAAAAACATGACCGTTTCAGCATTTAAAAATATTGAATTAACATCATCATGTGAACATGGTGGTTTTTGTGAGCTGGCAGCCATTTTAAATGGACGTAAAAAACATGATACCATTAATTGTAATTGTTCAAGATATTCTTCTTCCGCTTCGACCATACGAAACACGAGACTATTTATTTACATTGTTATATTGTGTAAAATCATTAAAATCAATCAATAATTTTTGGATTCTAAGTTGATTACCTATTTCGTTTACGCATACTTTCAGCATGTGGTGAATTAATATATTCGATAACAATTTGTTTCCATCGTCGACGACAAAGCCAACCACGAAAAAAGCTTTGAACTTTTTTAATTTTTCTTATTTCTTCACTTTCTTCATTTAGGCCACCAAGTTGTTGAAGATTTTGGCTACGATTATTCGGTGCTAATCGCCATTCACGATTCAATGAAAAAAGCTTTGATATTATGATTGATTATGGAGAAAAAAAAGAAAAGGAAAAATTCAATCAAACAAGATGATCACCAAAAAAAACGGATTTTGTTGTTTTGGTTTACCTCGGCACGTAATTTTTTTATCTCCATTGTCAATTCTTCACATTGTTGTGTATATTGCCATTTAGCCGTTTTTTCACTTTCAACAATCTGTACAAGATGTAAATGTTTTTGTTCCAATTCTTCTTTTTGTAGCAACATTTTTGAAAAGCTAGAAAACAAAAATAATATTGAGAAAAAATAAACATTTTTTTCAAAGCAATCATTCCAAGCGATGGATTTACAATGTACATAAAATTCTGTAATTGAAATCAAATTCAACGATTTTATTTTTATTTTTCTTGTAATATCATTATTTACAGCTGTCATCACCAGGATCATAATGTTTACTTGAATCTTATGTAAAATTTTCTATCACACTTCTTAAATGTTATTACAAACTATACTTGTTTAACAAAATTATTATTTTTTTCTATATTTTTCTATATTCAATTTAAATTTAATATTTTATTGAATATATGAATGATGATGATGATGATGATATGTTTTTTTTTTTGAAAACAGTTTAACACTTTTGACAACTTTGACAGAATCACAAACTTTATTCTTTTTTCTGGGTTTAAAAATTTTGTTGTGGTGTTTTCATTTCGAATAAATTTTTCGTAAAGGAAGAAAACATGAATGGAGTAAATAAACGGGTATACTTTGTTGGCAAAAATATCATATCCTACGGTAAGAAAGTGGTCTAAAATACATACTCTGAAAATTTTGTTCTTTTTTTCATATTTTTAAAATAATTAAAACGCTCATGTATTACAACGACATGAAAAAATTATCATTTTTTTAAAGTGTATTTTTTTTGTATTCATCATGACAACAATGATGATTGGTACTTGTGAAATAAAACTAATTAAATAATTTTTTGTTTCAAGATAAAAGACAAAACATTGTCATAAACAAAAACAAAACAAAAAAAAGTTTTATGACAAGCTTACCTTGCATTTTCGATAGCATGTACCCAGGCATTACATTCGGATTCAGATTCAGCTTTAAGTTCAAAAGTTTTTGATCCTTCTTTACGATACGTGATTGTAAAATAATGCTAAAACAAATGATAATCAAATTTGAAATGGTAATGTGGACAAGCAAAAAAAAAGCGAAAAAAAATGAATTTAAAGCAATCAGCATATTATTAAATAGTTATTCAAAGAATGTAGAAAAAAAAGGTGGATACTGAATATGTAAATTTATTTAACAATCAAAAACAGATAACAACAACAACAACGAAAAATGGTCTGAACATTTTGTTTTTTATGGTGTGTAAGATATTAAGAAGTTTAAATTTTTTTTTCAAAATAAAAAAATCTCTAAAATCTTCTTTTGCTTTTTTGATTAGATGAGACGTTCGTTTCGGTTATGTGTCAATTGAAGAAGAACATTAAGGATTTCGGAAAGAAAAAATATTTCGATGCAGTCATTTGGATGGTTTCGGTATTTTTTATTTAAAGTTTTAAATTGAATGGAAAAAAGGAAAATCAAAAATTAAAAAAAATGCAATGCACTGAAGCCAACATTTTTTTGCCATACACAAACATTTGACAGAAACATAATGATGATGATCCGAAAAAAATAAAAAACAAATTATAACGGACTTTCTTATATGGAAGAAAAAAAATGAAAACAAAACAAAGCAAAACAAAAGTCATTTGATTCAATATGACATTTGATGGAATATAATTATGTCGATTGACCAATGACAAATAAACATTTCTTTTCATTTTTCTCATATTTCTAAAAGCATTTTATAATTAGTTTGTTGCCCACCTACATCCACAAATACAAGATAAAGGTTGAGAACATCATCATTATTATTATAATTGAAAAAAACGCTTATTATTTTCATAAATGAATGTTTATTGTGTGATTTTTTGTTACTTTGCATGTTTTATGTCATCACATGATTTCATGTTTATTTTATTCATTTTTTTTCAATGACATAATAATGTTGATGATTATAATGTTACATTATTAATTCGTTGTTTAAAGGAATCCAGTTTCAAAAACAAAAATCTCATCAACAAATACAAAGACAACTAAAAAAAATCTGACTATTGTAATAACTATCATTAAAATTGTTAATATAAATCAACCAAATGAAAAACAAAATTACTATATATATTCTATTATCATATTAAATGTTTCAAATTAATTGATGTTTATCTATTTCAATGATTTCTAATCGAATAAATTGAAATCAGTATTTTACTAACTAATTAATAATCTATCAACATGATACTTGATACCGGTAACTTCTTTTTTTTCGAAATAATGTTATGATTAATAATCTGGAAAAAACAACCTTTCTCGAAATAAAACCGATGAGAGGGAAGGAAAGAAAAGAGAGAAAAAAAAACAGATCATCATCGACACATTTTATGTATCGGATTGAAATTGTTTATACAAATATGATTGTGATTTTTTTTTTTGCAGAATATTATTTCCACTATATAATAATAAACCAGACAAAACCCCAGAAAAAACACAGAGGAAAAAACATGACAACAACAAAATGATGTCATTGTTCAAAGATTTTTATTTTATTTTCTATTTTTGGAAATATAGAAATAAAACAAGTTTTTTTTTGTTTCGATTTTGATTTGATTTGAAAGTTTTTGTGTTTTTTTTTGCTAGGAATAATATGAAAAAATAAGTAAAATACAAACATTTGCAAATATACGATTTTTTGGATAATTCAAATGTGTATGTAATCGGATCGACGACTATCATAGTTTTGTTTTCTGATTTGTTTTTTTTTTGATTTTTCTATTAGGAGAAAAAAAGAAGAATTTTTTTTCTGCAAACAGAATATGTAAAAAACAGAGCGGTTCTGTTTCAAATATATATAAAAACAATGCAAAATAACAAAACAGAATACTTTTTGGTAATAAAAAAAATGAACGGGAAAAGTATCAGATGTTTTATTTGAGCATTTTCATGATATAGTTCGTGTATAATCACCAGAATTGAAAATGAAATTTTTTGTATAAAAAAAAAAATAAAACAACTGAAAATGATTCCGAAAAATACATCAAATCGGATAATGTAGAGAAAGGGGAACAAAAAATAGATTTTTTGTTTTTTTTCAAAAAAAAGATGAAAACTTAAAAATTTTTTCATTTTGTTGTTGTTGATTCAATCATGGTATTTTTTGTCTTGTTTTGCTTTCTTTAATTTAACATTTTTCTTTTATGATATATGTTTTTTGATTTTTGGATTGAATAACCTTGTCAAAAGATAATGTTTACTTAACAAATTGTGATTGTGAAATATTAAACCAAGATTAATTCGTTGCAAAGAAAAAACATAATTCACAACAAAACAAAACAAAACAAAAATCGATTCATGAAACGATAGGCCAATTCTTTGGCAAAACAAAAATTAATTGTCGTCATCATGATGATGATGATGACGATGACGAAAAAACAAATGCAAAGTAAAAGAAACAAATAATTATTCTGAAGAGAAAAATAAACCCAAAAAACAATAAATAAACAGAATAATACATTGACACACAAACATATACAAATAATGAAAAAAAAATTCACATGAAATAATCATCATTGATTTAAGCTAAAGAATAATTCCTAGAAATTCATGAAGATGATAATAATGATTACTTTTATGAATCAAGATAGTGAGAGAGAAATGAAGATATACACACACACTATGTATGTACTCATTTCGTGATTGATCGATAAAAGTAATTCTCAAATATGAAGATTGAAGATGAAAGCAAAAAAAAAATTATATTATTCCATATTTTTAGACTAGTTTTCCGGTAAAATAGGTATGTAACTGAAAACAGTCATAAAGAGAGACAAAATGCATAATTTAAAGTGTGTTCGTCTATGCTAGAATTGAGTTTGAAAAACATGTTATGTTTGTCTTTGAATGATTTTCGTTGTCAACATCAACATTCTGTATTTATTTTCTTTTATTTTTATTTCAGTTCATTTATTCTGAGGAAATTTCTCATAACGAAAAAAAACATTGTATAGAGAACATTTGATGATGATCGTGATGATAATACATTTACACATAGTCAAAAAGAAATATATCATCATCATTAAGATGAATCATTCCATTTTGAATAAATGGGAAAAAACATTGCAAATTTCCAAAATAGTAAGGGTTATATTACAGATAATTTTTGCTCGTTTTTCCATTTATTTGCCAAAAAAAGAAAAAAAAACAACAACGTCCATTCAAGGCCTTAATGAATAAAAAATAGAATCTAAAGAGCCAAGAGCGAAAACAAATTTCCAAAAAAAAAACAGAAAAAATAATGATACTAGATATAGATGTATGTAAATAGAATAAAATGTATGATGGCCAAATAAAAACGATAAAGAAATGAAGGAAAACAGTTTTACAAACACATTAAGGCCACAATTTTTTTTTGCAACGGATGCATAAATTCATTCAATTCCATAAGAAAGAAATATGATTTGAACACGTTGATTATGCACATTTTTTTGCAATATGATAAATTAGAATGACGAAAAAACAAGAATTGGCCCATTATCAATGCTTCGTTTCAATATCAAGCAAGAATATTGGGTGAAACTTATTTTGAGGATAAGTTTGTTTTTGTGTTTTTCCCCTTGAAAATATCATTAAGGTTCATTATCTGATTTGATCATCTAATCAACATTTCATGACAACAACATTGAAAATGAAAGAATTCTAATTGATATCGGAAAGTAAGGACAAGACTTTAATCAAAGTGAATGAAAGACTCCAAATCGACTTTAATTTCGATAAAGTTAACTAGGAATAATAATAATAATAATGAAAAACAGTTCTGTTTTTCCATATAAACATAATTATTATAATTGAAAATAGATACACTTCATAATGAAAATTTGCACAATAAATAATGATTGAAATGAATGAAATAAATGAAAAGCAAGAAAAAGGCATATATATTCTTCGTATTAACGAATATATAATTAATGTTTACTATGTTCAAAAGTAATTTTTATTCAATCAGTTTTTTTCTTCTTTTTTCCTATCTACATTGTTATATAATCAATTATTGGTTATCATCATTAATGTGATCCGCCTATTGTTGATTAATTTTTCCGTTTCTTTCTTTTTTTTCGAAGATTTTTTTTCCAACCAATTTCATATTTGTTCCCGTATGTTGTTTTTTTTTGTTTGGTGAGTTATATAATAAGAAAATTTTCAGATATTATTTACACCAATCATCCTGGTCCCGAATAAACACATATCGAACACCGACATGGCAAAATGGAATCGAATCAAATTTCGATTTTTTTTTCGTCTTTCCCTTTTATCAATGACATGATTTTATGATTTGGACAAAATCTCAAATAATTTATTTTTTCTAGTACTTTCTTCGATTTATCTATAACATTAGTTTGTTTGCATTCGAAATAAAATGAGTTTATTGTTCGATTTTCTATAAAAATTTGATCAAAAGCATTTCTATTTTCACAAAAATAAACATTTCTGAATAGAATAAATAACAAAAAAGAAAAAAAAACGAAACAGTGGCAATTCTTAAAGAAAAAAGTTTTTAAATTCTTGTGGATTCTGTTTTTCCAAACAATCACTCACATACACGCTTATGAATGAATAAATCAATGAATATCTAATGAATTCAGAATATTAACGAAACGATAAGAAAAAAAATTACCACTTGATCCTAACAACTGATTCATGTTGAACAAAAGATAGATGAACGAAAATCGATTGCCATTGACATTGAAACGATTTTTAAGTTTTTAATATGTCGATAAATCATCATTTTATCTTGTTGTTGAATATCATTAACTGAATATCTATACTTTATTTTTCACATTCAATTCGTTTTGAGTTTGGAAAGATATTATTTTTTCTCCTATCATTTTTTTCTGGTTATGCTTATGAACTTATAAAATAAATTAAATTCCAATATTTTCTCTCTTTCTCTCTCTCTCTCCAAATCATTCATCATTCACAACAATCATTCAATAATTCAATGACTATCAATTCACAGAACCTCATATATTATAAAAAAAATGAAGAAGAAGAATCTATTCTATTTAATATTCATGGAAAATATAGTTGAGTTTTTGATAGTAAAAGAACAACACTATAGCACTATCAACAATGATGATGATAATATCAACGTTATATTACGAATGCTGTAAACTGTAAAATTGTAAATATGTTATTTGATGATGCATCCAAAATATTTTCCGAATCAAATTTTCTTTATCACAATATCCATACAAATGAAAGAATGTTTATAAAAAAAAATCAAACTTCATTCTATTTCACCGGAATTTTTATATTCTATCTAACACACAAATGAAAAATAATATCCGTGTCATTTTTTTCATGAAAAAAACATTATTCCAACAAAAAAAAATCGATCGATACCATCGATATTTTGAATGGAATGTTTTGATTCCTTGAATTCACAAAATAAAGATTTGAAAACAAATCATATTATTAATATTATTATCATTCAAAATCTCTAATTCATCATCAGATTTAATCATATTAAAAAAAAAACAAAATTTTTTCTTCTTCTAATCAAATTAGGCAATGATATGGATACTAATGGATGTTCCGTTTTTTAAATTGTAATAAAATTATTGATTCAAAAAATTGATTTCCATTTTTTATATGGAAATATTCATGACCTTGAATTATTACAGAATGTTAATAAAAGACATTGTTGATAAGAATTGCTAATAAATGAATGATAAACTTAATCAAACTAATATATCTTCATTAATGTGAAGATTTTTTTCTTTCTCTCCTTTTTCAATTCTATCATCATCATCATTGAAGATGTTTACATTTGTTCTGTTGTTGTTTATTCACACATTCTTGTTGTCATTCGAATTGGTATTAGGTTGGCAAAAAAAAACATTTATATAAAAAATTGGTAATAACAACCCAAACAAACAAAACAAAACAATCACACAGTAAATACAATCGGTATTCTATTATGTTCCAATCTTTTTTTCACACAAAAAAAAACACAACTTCAAGATAATCGAACAAACCAATTGATTAAAATTTGGTTTTCATGTGTGCGTGTGCAAGGCGATGGAAATTAATTGACCACATAAAAATAGCTTTAGGTCATCATTCGTATTTTTTTTTGGAAAAGATTCTTTAAAAATAAATTAAATCGATCATTTTGTGTTTTTGAAAAAAATTAGTTGAAAACTTTATATTAGTTTTACATGATAAAAAAAAGTAATAACCTTCCAAAAAAGAAAAGAAAAGAAAATAGTCTTCAAACAAGAAAAAAAACTATATTAGATGAACTTGTACAACATTCATTAGCATTTCCAAAAAACAATTCACAACATCAGATACCTGATTGAATATTCTATTGAATAATTCGTTAAAATATTCATAAAGTTCGATTCTTTTTTCTATTTTTTTTAAGAAAAAGAGAAAAAACCACACACACACACACAATGGAAAGAATATTCTCTATTCATATTTTTTCAAAGAAGATTTTTATTTCTTTTTAGATATATAAAAATTTACATAAACTCTTTCCGTATGTACTTTTGTATAATGAATTGAATAAGTTTCTCACATTGGTGAATCAAGAAAAAAAACTTTAAGATATGTAAAAAAAGAAAATCAAAACTCAAGTATACTTAGAACATCACTTGACTATAAAGAAAACAAAGCAAAAATGAAAATAAATTCCATACATACAGGTAATGTGGTAGTTTATTTTTTACTTTATCAAAAAAAAATCTATTTCTGGATAATAATCATATTGATTGTTAATTTCATTGCCTTTAAGGAATTTTTTATTCTATTAAAATTTGTTTATTTCTATGAAGCATTCAAAAATAATAAAAACAAAATATTTTTGCACATTAAACAAATACAAACCTTGCGGAAAATAAAAAAATGAATGAATGAATAAACGAATGGATGGATGAATAGATGGTAGACAAGAACCAGTAACCGAGATAGAACAGAAAGAGAAAAATTGAAAAAAATTCGGTTTGTTTTGTTTTGTTTGTTCAGAACCAAAAGGTAAAAAAATGAAAATTTTGCTCGAGTAATTTCGGGAAAAAAAGGTGTTTATAAAAAAAGAAAAGAAAAACAAACTGGAGAAAATGATTGAACTATTCAATGAAAAATAAAACGAATGGATTCTTTCATTGTGTTCATCAGTGATCATGTGTGTGTTTATGACAAATATTTTGACTCTAAACATTTTTTTTCTTAGGTAAAAACTTGTTTATTTATTTTTTAATTTTCTATTTATAATTCGTTCTTACCTGAAGATTGGTTGACGTACCAGTAGCACTAACACTAGCCGTTATCGTTTTCGATGTTGTTATAACCATTTTGTCACAATATGAACCTTCCAAAAATATGACGCCCGAAGGTTTTTGTGAATGTTCATTTTCAAAATAGAATAATAGATTTTGAAATAATACAAAATAACGTAACTGCCATTTAGAATTTTCGGATGTACGTTTGAAAAGAAATCCACGTATACCATTATCATGCAAAGCCTTTTCGGCTAATGCTAATAATTGAATTTCGTTCATACGCATTTTTTCTTTTATTATGATATGATTAATATTATATTTGTTAATGATATAAATTAACAAAAAAGAAGAAAGAAAAAATGATGATGATTATAATAATAATGATGATAATAACAACGTTATTGTTGTTGTCGCTGTTATAGTTGTTGTAATTATTCTATATTCAACAATAATAAAATATTATCAGGCATTGATCTTTTTAACTAATAACATATTATATGATATTCATGATTTGAAATGATTTTGATCTTGAAATATCATCATCTTTTGTGTCTGTCTCAGAAAAAACAAACGTATAATTACAAAAATTACATTGAATTACATTACTATACGCCTACCCACGTATAATAATCATCTACTGAATGAAATATAATACACAAACAAACAAATAATCAAAATTAGAGAGAAAAAAAATAATGAATGAATCGCGACAAAGATAAATTCTCATTCCAATTAACCGGAATCAAATACGACACACAGAATATTGTGAATAATTCGGCAGAAAAAAAACTCACATGAATTAATTTGAATGAATAAAAAAAAATTTATCAAACAAACAAGAAAAAAACGAAGTGAAATTTAAAAATTTTTGAAGATGAAAATTTTCGGTTACCATCAACACACACTGTATACACACACAACAAAAAAAATCCCATCAAGTTGTCATCATTCTTTGTCGTTTTTCATGAGAAATGAATAAAAAAACTGAAATTTCGAAATTCTTTTCCAATTTTTTTCACATGCTATACGTATGTGAAAATGAAACTGGAAACATTCAGTTTTTTCAATCTTTTTTGTTGTTGTTATTCAAAAAATTTATTTTATCTGAATCATTTTAAATGAATAAATGACGATCTATGTTAAAGATCGTAGAATTAACCCAAACAATAAAACGATGATGATCTTATATTTATAACAACAATAAATATGTTTCAAACAAATAGGCGTCATGATTGATTATCGTCATCATTGTTATCTTGTTGTTGTTATTGCCGGCAGACAACGTCATTATTTGATCACAGAATTGAGATTGAAAAAAGAGAAACTAAAAATTTCGAAGATTTTTTCCGGTTTAGCAGCGAATTTTCAGCAGAATTTCCGTATTATATAATTGATGATTGCAATTGAAACAGAAACAAAAACAAATTAATTTGCATCGAATAAATGAACAATTTTATATTAGTAATAATGATGCAAAGGTTATTCTGATTTCACTGCTAAAAAAACAATTTTAATGGATTAAGCAATGAAAATTAATTCATTAAAATGATTAGCATAGAAATTCATCACCCACACATACACAGACACGCGAATTCGAATATTATCAACAACAAAAAAAGATTTAATGATGATAAAAATTGTAATTTGTTGTATCACACATTTTATTCAATAAATCAAATTAAAGTTACAATAAACAACAAAAAACAATTGATAAATTAGTTGAATGTTTTACACAAACATACATTAACAGAAAAAAAGATTGTAAATTTTATGTAAAAAAAAGTCAAAGATAGGATTAATTCGATGATCGTTGTTTAGTTATTCAGTATCAGTGTTGTTTTATTGATATGATCATTTTTTAAAATTTTCATAATAGATAATGATAATGATGATAATATTTAAATTGATTATGAAAATTTTCAAATTTTCATCATTTTTCTTTTATTTAGATTTTGTAATTGAAATGATAAAATGAGTGGTAAATATGAGAGTGAGAACCGTGACAAAAAAAAAACCGCCGATTTTTTTGGGTTTACAAGTTTTCGAAAAAAAACTATAGAATAATAATCTAGACTAGAAACGGTATTTTGCTGGTTTATTTATTTATTTATATTTCGATAGAAAACTATAGATAGAATTTTTTNAAATAATTAGCAAAGAAATTCATCCCCCCCACATACACAAACACACAAATTCGATTATTATCAAAAAAAAAAAAAAAAGATTTAATGATGATAAAAATTGAAGTTGTAATTTGTTGTATCACACATTTTATTCAATAAATCAAATTAAAGCTACAACAAACAACAAAAAACAATTGATAAATTAGTTGAATGTTTTACACAAACATAAATTAACAGAAAAAAAGATTGTAAATTTTATGTAAAAAAAGTCAAAGATAGGATTATGTCGATGATCGTTGTTGAGTTATTCAGTATCAGTGTTGTTTTATTGATATGACAATTTTTTTAAATTTTCATAATAGATAATGATAATATTTAAATTGATTATGAAAATTTTCAAATTTTCATCATTTTTCCTTTATTTAGATTTTGTAATTGAAATAATAAAATGAGTGATAAATATGAGAGTGAGAACCGTGACAAAAAAAACCGCCGATTTTTTTTTTGGATTTACAAGTTTTCGAAAAAAAAACTATAGAATAATAATCTAGACTAGAAACGGTATTTTGCTGGTTTATTTATTTATTTATATTTCGATAGAAAACTATAGATAGAATTTTTTGAGATACTACATGCGAATTGATAAAAATAAAAGAAAAACCACTACACTATAGAATGTTTGAATCACGAATGAATCGTATAGATGATTTTTTTTCATTTTTTTACATCCAATTCTTGTTTGCGCCTGAGTAGACCAAACCGCGTATATTTATATATATAACAGTATATATTCTTGGTTATTTCGTCATATGAATATATACACGAAACAGTGAAGTAAAACTTTTTTACGTTTGATGACGATAATGATGATGATGAGAATCATGGACCAAAGGCAAGAAGCAAAAGGTAGTTCTCTATAATAAATATTGGAAATGGAAAAAAAATTCGGTGCTTGTTTGCCTGGCATGGATGTGGTATACTTGCGCAGCAATTTGTCTGATCCAAACACGCAGACATACATCGACATCGAGAAAGAAGCAATCCAAGTATATTACCAAAACGAAACTAAAAAGGTATGAAAAACAAGGAATGAAGAATATAATGATGATTATAAAATGATGAGTATACACACAAATATCACATAAACAATGATGGCGTGACAATCGAGAATTGAGAATCAAGATTCTTCTATTGCGTCGTCGTAATCATAATGGCTGTTGTCGTCATTGTCCGCAACATTTTTTTCAGACGCAATTCAATTCAATTTTACCGCTATCTTCTATTTCGTCATCATTTTAGCTTATCCAAGCACAAACAAAACCAGTAAGTCAAAAACAACAACAAGAAATTGGAATGAGAAGAATGCCCAATGGACTGCAAATGAAAATGAAACTAACAAAAATAAAAAATAACCATAACAAATATTACCAAAAGTCCAATGATCTATGATCATGATGTTAAAAATTGATTCAATGTTGTTGAAACATTGTAAAAATTGATGTTAGTTTGGTTAGACCTTCATGATAATTATTTTATTTTTTTTGTTCCTTTTTTGATAGAAATTTTTTTTTGTTGTTCATCGTGCTATATCTCTATAGAAAAGATGAGTATCATAGTATATATATTTACTTTAGATTTTCATGATTGTTTGTACAATAACATGTTATCATTCTCATTCTGTTTAACATCCAGCATATCATTTGCTGTCATTATTTAATATTTATTCTGGTTTTTTGTTTCCCTTATTAGAATTAATTCTATTATGTTTACATGTGGAAATGGTGGTGGTCAAAAGAAAAAAATTATAATTGATAGAAATATAGACGACTAATAAATTATCTAATAGATTCAGGCAAAAAAAAAGAATAATTCTGTTCCATTTATTGTCCACTTTTCACTGAATAAGAATCATTTGATGTTAAATCATACAATACCGATAACTTAATATTATAATTGATCAATATAAAAGTTTTAGTAGACAATCATAAAAGCGTTTGATGGTTTACCGGGAAAAAAATTAATCGATTATATTTGCACTTTTTCTTAACTTAATATTTTTTTCAAATTAGTATAAATCTAATTTTATCTTTCGTTATTGTTGATTTAAAAGCATAAATCGATACAAAATGAAAATTACAATATCGATACAATTAATCGATTTAATCGATATTCTAAGTTTGGAAAAATTCGATACCAAAAGCAGAAAAATTTCCAAAATGACAATTGAAGGAGAAGATCAATGAAAAAACAATAGAGAGAATTTTCTATTGGAAAAAAATAATGCAAAACAAAGCAAAAAAAGATTATTATTTCCAAAGGAAAAAAATTATTCATTTTTTTCTTTTATTCATCAGAATCATGCTTAACAAACAAAACAAATAAGGTTACCAAGAAAAATCTGCATGTCATCAGTAAAAACAAGAACAACAACAATTACATCGATAAAGATATAAAATCCGTAGTACAAAAAAAAGTGTGAACAAAACAGATGTGTAAATAGAAGAAAAAAAGGAAAAACAAGAAAAATTTCATAATCTACTGCTGTTATTTTGAAATATATTCTTTTTTTTTCTAAGATAATGAGTTTTTTTCCAACAATCATATTCACCACTTGTTCACGAATTCATAAATATTATTTCATTTGTGCATTTGTTTTTTCTGCTTGAAATAATCAAAATATCCATATACGTGTTAACTATACCAACGTTATATCAGATTCCTGGAACTTTTCATCATCATTATCATCGTCATTTATTAATATAGAAGCAAAAGAAAACCCCATATATACTGCTATAATAATATGATACGGTAAAAATGAGAGAAGAATAGAAAAAAAAACTGGAAAAGCTGAAACTAAAAAACTTTTCAAGTTTTTATTATTAAGACAAACAATTTCAATATCAATATTAAATACATCTTTACCATTTAACTATGGTTGTTGTTGTTGTCGTTTTTTTTTGTTGATAGATTGAAAAAAATATAAAAAAATAACAACAATAATTTGATACGTAAACTGTACATTTTCATACATCAAACTGATCCTGAAACTATCTGTATCATATCATAAACACACACACACTTATTGAACAAACAAATATAAGATTAAACAGACTAGATAGTTAATTGTAAATAAAGAAACAAAGTGAATTTATATCTTTTGGGATTTTGCGTTTCGTTTCGTTTCGTTCATAAAAGTGAATGTTTATGTTGATGATGATGATTATG